CGTTTGTTTTTTTGCGTCAAATTTAATAATTGAAGTTTGACCCCTTTTCTTAGAGCGCCTTGCGTTTCGTCCTTAAAAAAAACAAGATGGGCGCAGTTACAAAATGGCGGATTACATATTGTTTTACAACTACCTCAATATGGGTATCAAATGACAGGGCTTTTATTTCTAAGGACGAAACACAAGCACTACAGGAAAATATTTAAGGCGCTTCAAGAGCGGTGCCTGTGCGAAAGTAGCGATTCACATTGGATTTGAATCGCTGGAGATGAAATCCATTTGAAAAAACATTCACAGGAAGTTTATTACACATAAACGCAGTTCTCCAAATGAAAGATTACTTCGACAGTGAAGTTCGAGGTGTATTGACTTGAACCTCGAAACGTTGAGCAGCCACAGTCCGACATATATTTCTGATATGTGGTGGAATCAAATGTGCCAAGTCACTTGAACACGTCCCGTGAAAGTATCTATAGAAGAGAGACAAATCTCCAACCTTTCTTCGATGTTCCAGACTATCAAGGTTGCAAGTGATGTTGGCTCTTTACTTTTTTTTTCAATAAAACTGTTCGACATAAAATATTTTTTTCACTTGTTTCATTCTCTAAATAGAACCCTTCTGTCGCTAAAATGCTCAAAAGCAAGTTAATAAAAGTGCTGATTTTTTCCCACATATCAGTGAGCGCGAAGGGATGAGAATTATACATTTTGCACTCACTATTCTAGACATCTGTAAGTAAAAACCCCTCTTTTGATGTATATTATTTGAACTAATTCATTTTGCATCACTTTTGATTTCACCAAAATATCTCAGATGTACCTGAACCCCAATTCTCCAATTATTCCTTCTCAAATCTCTTAGAAATTCAATTTTTATGCCGCCTCACAGAGTTACGTAATATTTATTCTATGGTATTTTTGAACGTAAATCTTGGTTGCCTCTTGCCGCCGGCGTTTTCTTCGAATTCGTCGCATTACGTTACTTCGTCCGGTCAGCAAAATCATAGTAAGAATAAGTTTCAACGCCCACACCAAGGATTAGTAAACATGAAATTATCCTTGAAGGCACATTTTTATGAATCAACTGTTTCGAATGTCAAGAACTTTTCGATTACTTGGTACGACCACAGTAGATTTTACTGTGGTACGACTATACAGGAGGCACAACTGCGACGTTATTCTTATCATGTTAATTCTTCCTGTTTGTAGGTAAGCTAGACTTTTGACAATGTTACGAACATTAATACCTGTTACGAACGAAATACCTTGCGATGTTGAAGAGCCTGGTAATATATTTGAACTATCTGAGTTGACAATTTCATGGGCAATAACATTTAATTCTTGAAGTGAAGAGGACGATGCTGTAACGCTGGAGCTAGCTTGATTATTCTTTAAGCAATAGCCTTTTTTTAAGAAATAGATTGATCGAGGTAACCCTCAGCTACTGTTGTAGACTTCCATCCTCCGTGCTTCTTAATATCCGTTATATTCTGAATATTCCTTTGGTTCCGGGAGGTTCAGAAACTCAGCAATGGTAGAGGACATTTTTCCAAACGTGTTAATACCAACTGGATTGACACTGCATTTATAATTTGATTATTTCAGAAAAAAAAACTTTGATGATTGATAACAGAAGGGCGTAATGCAACGTATTCATTAAAACAGTGAATGTTTTTTCCAACAATGCAAAAAGAGCGACCTATTTTCATTTTTATATTTGGAATTTGAACTATCAATGATTTATCCATTAATTTAATGTCTTCTATTAATAAATGTAACTCTATTATCGAGCAGTCGTACAAAATATCCATCTGCTCGGGTTTTTGTGTTAATTCTTTTATTATCATTTTTACTCAGCATTTTTTGTCTCTTGTACCGACCATCTATTGCCGAAAAACATGGATATTTAGAACGAAGCCATTTGGGTTGCTTCATTGTTAACACTTTGATGGATCAAGACAAAGTCCCGAGTGGTTGACCCTTCTCGAATATATTTATGACCCCGACCATATTGTCATTGACGATTTTGTCGAAAGTGACTTCAAAAACATTTTTGAGCCAAGGCATTCGGTTCTGAGATTTCGACCGAAAACTAGTCCCAATTCTGATTTTCATTCTCCTCGCCACGTGATTACACTGAATTTTTCTGTTTGCGTTTCGTTGGTGTTGTTAATAAATTTTATTATTTGTAAACGCTGTGCCCGACTCATTAATCATTCATCTATCACCAGTCCCGACAAGTTTTTGATTTTTTGGGCCTATAACTTTCATTTTTTCGCTTCAAGAATGCTATTACCTTGAAATATTTGCTTGTATTAACACCATTTTTAACGAGCGCCTTCGACTTTATCATTGAAAACTTGCTCCACAAAGTTGACGAGTTCCATATTTTTCATTTCTCTTCTAGTTAGGCTAAAAAGACGGTTTCGCTGAAAATTCCTTCGGCGCTCTACACCAGCTAAGAAAATCAGAATATACGATGTCATACTGCTGAGGCGATTTATTTGAAGATCTTTCCACAGCCTCTTCAATATCGTCAAGAACACACAATTTCTCACTATTGTTCTTTATTATGCAAGATCTTAAACACCAGCAAGAACTTTAAATGTGACTTTAAATAAAACGCGTGAGCTGTAAACAATACTGTTTGTTGGTAACCTGGTGATTCGGCGTCACCTGACACGACCACTTCACAGCAAATACGATAACATGAAAATAGTTAACTGACAAAAGATGTCAAAATGTGTTTTTATAGAAATGTTGAATTTATTTATTTTATTATGATAACAGGACTGTTGTACAAAAAACTTTGTATGATATATGTGTTAAATGTTAGTTTTATTTTGTTTGTGAAATTGCTCAACTCGCTACGCTTTTTCACTCACAAAATAAAAACTTTCTTTCAACACTCATATCATAAATGGCTCTCCAAGAGGCGCCACCAAAGACGTACCGAAGTGCTATAATTTCAATAAATTAGTGGTAATGTAATGAATTGATATAAACATACAATTTAAGCTTGTTACGACATCTACTTGTTTTATAAAAAAACATTCATTCTTACAATTACTTATGTTGAGATTGAATTAGATATTGTATTCTTATTTATCTGAAAAGTTCAATCTCACGACAAGTGAGACAGTATTGTGACGCCCGAAGATGCTATTCTATAGCGAAACACGTGCCGCGGATTTTGTAAACTTTTATGTGGAAAGCTTATATTGAAGTGTATTTATTGAATACGTTATAATGGATTTCCATCAAGTATAGGTCAGTTCTATCAAATTTTTGTAGTTTAAAATCATTAAATAAAGTCGTTGTGTTTTTCTAGTATTTTCTTAAGATAGGTGACATTAATTATAAGGAACACTGTGCTACAGATTTTGTTGTTATAGACCAAGTCTAAGTTTATTCGTAGTCCAAGACATTTTCAGAAGAAAGGAGGAACTATACGTAGTTCCAATATTGTTCAATATAAAGGTGAAGTAGGGATGATTTAAATTTTGATCATTAAATTGCCGATGAAAAAACACCTTCCGCAGGACGAAAAGTAATTCAGAATGGAAAGGTGCTTTAACTTTTTGGAACCAACACAAAAATATTACCATTTTCTAAAAACTATCATCACTGGTAACGTGATTTGACTATATGAATATGCTGAAAAACAACTTTTCTGATATTCTGGTATTCCCCAGGGATCTATATGATCTCCAACCCTCTTTCTATTGTATATCGACGACTTATTGAAAAACAACAAGAATCCGATATGTTGCTTTGCTGATGACAGCACACTTGTTTCGTCATTCCACATGGATTCCACAACATCTGCAGCGGATGCACATCTTCACCGGCAGCAGGAGGTTGCATATCTTAATGAGGGTTTAGAAGTAATTTCGAATTGGGGTGAAACTAACCAGGTTCAATTCAATGCACTAAAACCACACGCATCAGTTTTATCCAAAAAGATTAATTTCTCCAAACCAGAGTCAGGTCAGACAATTCCACTTTCTGCTTGGATGAGTTTGTTGGGGGTTAAAATGGACACCAATATGTTTTGGCAGATTCATGTCGCTGGAATTGCAAAAGTCGCTTTTTAAAAGCTTGGCACACTATTCCGAACCAGAAAACTGTACACACCTCAGCAACTTTTGATGCTTTATAAAGCTCAGATCAGACCTTCTTTGGAGTATCGTTTTCATGTATGGAGCTCTGCCCCCAAACATACCCTGAAATTGCTGGATTCCATCCAGAAAAAAAAGCCATCCGCCTGATTGGAGACGCGAATATCACTTGCAATCTTGATAGTCTGGAACATCGAAGAAAGGACCAATCTCCACCGATTCAAATCCAATGTGAATCATGCTCTTAGAGCGCCTTAAGGATTTTCCTGTAGTGCTTGTGTTTTTATCCTCAAAAAAACAGCCTGACTACTTTATTTTGATAATTTACAAGGATCCAACACACAATGATACACTGTTACCAATATACAAATAGTATTGTTATGATAAGTCGAATATATGATACATTAATTAACTCAATATTACTTAATTTAAGAACCAGACGCATATTAAACCGTAAAAATCAAGAACGGGCAATTCATTCGATCACCAAATTCATACTAATTTTTTTTCCATGGCGAAGAACCCCTCCTCTCTGGGCCAAATGATCAATCAATACTGAGAGGGTCTTGAACATTGTCGGGTGACCGATAAAATATTTTCTATCTGTTTTTTTTTACCAACAATTCAAAATCATGTGAAATGAGACGACAGTCAACTGTATTTTTATTCGATTAAAAAAAACATGTAAGACAGAATCTCCATTTGTCGGTTTACATACCTTGTAAATATTTTCTGACAATCACAATTAAACCCGTTTGATAATAACTCCACCCACTTCCTATACCTATTCGAATACTTAACACTTCATATTGTGATTCAAATGTTAATACGAATACTGGACAATAATATGGGGCGACTTAGAAAAATTATAGTACTGACCTCTTTTGTCCATGGCCCTTTGACCAATTCCGGATTAACCACTTTGGTCCATCTCTGCTGACACTGAACATCGGATCGATCGGGAAAATGTTCAGCGATTATGTCCCACTTTTCGCTGAAGTCGTCCACAAGTTGCTTTAACCGGGCGTCCTGGAACATTTTTGTAATGCTTATTTGGGAAAATGGTTAATTCAGTTCACTGCAGTAAACTTATATAGTACTAACTTTGACAAATATCGAGAGTATATAGTAAAGAACTAGTGAAAATTGTAATTTATCCATTCTTTATTTTCGCAGACCACAACTTGGCAAATTTTGTGTCATAACTTAGGCCCGCACCCGTACAAAAATCAACTGGCCCAGGAACTGAAGGTAAACGAACATATCATCAATAGGTCTTTCCAACAAATAACCCTATATTTGCAGCCACATAAGATACCGTATGTATGTAAGGCTGGGGCCACACTATGCGTTGTAACCGCACCATGTTAGAATCACACGTTAAAATGTAAGACCTCGTTAGTCCTTAGATTGCACAAGTTTCCCAACTTCTGAGAGTTGTCGTTCGTATGGGGGCGACAGCTGATTGTCCGAAAAAAACAGATTTTAAACAGATTTTTTTAAACAAATACCGGATTCTGACGCAACTCATTGCGCTACTGCCGGAAAATCGGTAAATCCGGAATACACAAACATTCTCATGAAAGCAGTCAGTGTCCGGTTCAAACTTAGCGATAGGACGTTCGACACGAATGAATTCATCAGTTGCATTCAGTGAAAACCAACACTTCAGGATAAATCTGCAAAATATTAATGCAGTGACCAACGTGCAAGAGAAAAAGTTTGGATAATTGCGACTCTGACAGTACTTGATAGAATGTTTTCAAGAAAATTCCAATGAATTATTACCAATTTCTTTTCAAAATTATCGGGACATCTTGACGCAATCAGTAAAGGCAAAAAACATCAGTTTCTACCACCCTTACAAAAATCAACTGGCCCAGGAACTGAAGGTAAACGACCATATCATCAATAGGTCTTTCAAACAAATAACCCTATATTTGCAGCCACATAAGATACCGTATGTATGTAAGGCTGGGGCCACACTATGCGTTGTAACCGCACCGTGTTAGGAATCACACGTTAAAATGTAAGACCTCGTTAGTCCTTAGATTGCACAAGTTTCTCAACTTCTGAGAGTTGTCGTTCGTATGGGGGCGACAGCTGATTGACAGAAAAAACAGATTTTAAACAGATACCGGATGCTGACGCAACTCATTGCGCTACTGCCGGAAAATCGGTAAATCCGGAATACACAAACATTCTCATGAAAGCAGTCAGAGAGTCCGTATCAAACTTAGCGGTAGGACGTTCGACACGAATGAATTCATCAGTTGCATTCAGTGAAAACCAACACTTCAGGATAAATCTGCAAAATAATGCAGTGACCAACGTGCAAGAGAAAAAGTTTGGATAATTGCGACTCTGATAGTACTTGATAGAATGTTGTCAAGAAAATTCCAATGAATTATTACCAATTTCTTTTCAAAATTATCGGGACATCTTGACGCAATCAGTAAAGGCAAAAAACATCAGTTTCTACCGCACCGGTGAAAACGTAAAGTGTCACACCAGTCTTATATTATCTCTTTGAAATCTTATGATATCCCTGTCATAATAGCAAATATTATAAGTTAGTTCTATATGACTCGTTATAGAAAAAACCATGTATTCAATCGATACAAAATATTTTATTATTACTGAATGCCAAAGTTCTTGAAAAGTATATTATATAAAACTGTGGAAATTTTATTCCAAAATTGAGTTTGTTGATCCAAAATATGGAAACTAGGGTAGTTCACCCATATTCATATGTTTTTACTGTTCAATAATGGAATAAATGTTTATGAGGATTTTCAGCACATTACCTTGCGTGTACCTTGAAGTTTAATGAATTTGGGTTTGAATGATAGTTAATGAATATTTGGGCATTGTAAAATTCAAATATAAAAGCGTCTGTCGAAACAATGCTAAACCACCTACACTATTTCTCATATAAATACCATTAAAGGATTATACAAAGATAAAAAAATCTAGGTTTCATGACCGATAACAGTTTCGTAATTTTGTGTACACCTTCATTCAAAATATTAATACCAAATTTTTAATTTTGTCAGCTATACTGTATCAGGGTTAGTAATTTTTTGAGAATCAGAGAGGAAAAGTAGATTTTTGGTTGACCAGTGAGTAATGAATATTATTATCTTTCAGATTTCATAACAATAAAGACAATCTGATTGGACAAAATGAAATGGGAACAATGCGGTCACAGTTAGTGTATGTATCAAAAGGGTATACTTNAATACTTCCGGTCATAACGTGAGCTGCTGAGACAATAAAGAAACTAGGATTTAGATTTGAATTAAAGAAACTAGAATAAAGAAACTTGGATTCAGATTTGAAATAATAAACAAACGTCAAGCAGTTATTGAAAGCAGAAGAATAGTGGAATTGCGTAACAAATACTTAGAACAAATAACTAAATATAGACGAGAACAACGGCAAATTGTCTATTCGAGCGAATCTTGGTATAATACTCACGACACAGTTACGAAAGGGTGGACCGATGGTTCGAGAATGTGTACGCCTAACATGTCTGCAAACAAAGGATCGCGACTAATAATTGTGCATTGCGGAGGTAGTAAAGGATGGGTTCCGAATTCTTTGAAATTACATGGAAAAAAACTTGAGGACTGCAATGTTGATTATCATGAGAACAAGGAGGCTAATATTTTCGAAGAATGGTTTGAAAACACATTGATCCCAAATTTGTATGCGAATAGTGTAATAGTTCTTGACAACGCTTCCTATCATTCGCGACAGCTCATCAAAGTACCAAATAAAAATTCAAAGAAGGATGAAATACAAAGTTTTTAATGGATAACAATTCGTATTTTGAAGATTATGCCCTTGAGAGTATTGCTGAAAAGTATGGACACACCATTCGAGACTTCCCATCTATTTTTGTGTTTTCAATCCCATCGAGCTGATTTGGGGAAAATTGAAACAAAGCATCAGCTGTAAAAATAATTTTCCAAAAATTGATAAGAAGGTAATAGAGCTAATTAAAGAAGAAGTATCTAATATTATGGAAGAAGACTGGCATAAAAGGATTGAAAAAGTAATTTTAGTTAAAAAAGACTATATGGAGATTGGACACTTCCATATTAATAGTGGAAATAAATTCATTATTGATTTAAATGATGACAGCGATAGTGAAACAGAGAATATGGAAGAAGAATTATCAGAAGCTTTCGAAGAAAGAATATATATATATGGCGTCGTAAACAAATGCAAATAAAAAACAAAATCCATATGAATATTATAAATATTCATCATTTGATCTAGAAAGTTTCGAGGAAATCATCTTCTATTGCAATCTTTTCAACCCTTTTCACATGTCTTTCGCCCTATTATGATCCAACGGAAGTGCGTGAGGTTTGCTCTGCAGGAAGCGAGTCCTCAAGAGAACATGTCAAGCGTAACACCCGATATATTTCTTGTCAAAGTTACCGGGAAGAACCATCATCAATAAAAAATAGGTGAAGAGATAATGTGTGTATAGAAATATTTGATGAACGAGTGTTTTACAGCGATGTTATCATGTTGCTTCTAAAATATATCTTAGGTTATGTCAAACACATCGTATCCATTAGAATATATTATTTAAACATTATACCATGTCAAAACAATGAAAATTATTCGGTGAACACGTTACACTAGTATACGATTGCCCAAAATTCGCATGGATTGTTTACAATCTGCTCAGAAATAGTTTTGTCATACTTGTATTTTCAGTACTAAAAAATTAATCATTATAATTTATGATTCCTTTCAACTGCTTCGTTAGAAATCACAATATTTTGCCCTTAGTACAGTACAATAAATATTGCTTTTTTCCTTTATTTGGAAGATCCCACCATTTTTCGTATAAAGATGGAGAAGTAGAAAGCCAAAACCTTTTTTCCCAATAAATAACAAATAACTTCACCAGATATATTGAAGCAGGAGTAGAAATACATTATTTGAATATGACACCAATTACACTATTTCTTTTTTATGGGCAAAGAATCATATGTCAACCTAGGTGGACACCTTATTGACATATGAACCGATTTCATAAAACCGGTGTAAATTAAATCGCCTACGGAAAAAAAATTGTTGAATGGAAGAAAATTCACTTCATTCAAGGAAATAAAAGTGTCATGTATGCACGACAAAATATTTTGTTGATGCAAAAAAAAATGAACCAACTATTTCTTCAAGCATATGTTCATTGTATCAAACAAATCTTTGATTGAAACAATCACCTCGATTAGTTATTTCAATTTGAAGAAGAAATGAATTCTAAGCCTGAGGTGGTTCAAACAGAACTGGCTGGTATCTCAATCGCCACAAAAGAAATAACCAGGAAAGGAATTTCTGGCAAAAACATAACAACTAGAGTGCCACCAAGATTTAGCCAAAGTCTCGGTAGATAATAACATTATCCTAAGGTGGGTTAAAGGGGACGACAGGAGTAAAGGTAATCGCATTGCCGACTCTTCAGCCAAGGAAGCGGCTGGACTAAGAATTTTAGGACCCAGTGGCACCTACGGCCTGATGATTTCGACAATTGCGGAACTAGCCAAACGTCACACCCATGCTCAATCTCTAAAGATATGGAATAGAATCAAAGGATGCAATGTTGCCAGGATCACTTGGACAACCCTGGGAAGCTGGCGCCGAAGAAATANCTATTTTTGTGTTTTCAATCCCATCGAGTTGATTTGGGGAAAATTGAAACAAAGCATCAGCTGTAAAAATAATTTTCCAAAAATTAATAAGAAGGTAATAGAGCTAATTAAAGAAGAAGTATCTAATATTATGGAAGAAGACTGGCATAAAAGGATTGAAAAAGTAATTTTAGTTGAAAAAGACTATATGGAGATTGGACACTTCCATATTAATAGTGGAAATAAATTCATTATTGATTTAAATGATGACAGCGATAGTGAAACAGAGAATATGGAAGAAGAATTATCAGAAGCTTTCGAAGAAAGAATATATATATATGGCGTCGTAAACAAATGCAAATAAAAAACAAAATCCATATGAAT